TATACTGATACAATAGCTTCCTAAAATTATAGTTTATTTGCAATCAATAAAACAAAACATACCTGCAGGTGACGAAACAATACTTTCCTACTTTTAAGTAACTGATATTTGTTTGAATATGGTGGCGAATAACATAAATATTTTAATTATGACTACATACCTCACTGAATCTATCTAACAAAGCAATTTATTTCTTCGTTAATTTTCTATCGAAATTATAAAAAAATCATTTTCTTATTCAAACGCTTTCTTTACTTAATATACGCACATGATTGATGACACAGATATGACGCATTATTATTAGAAATAGATAAAACCTGCGATCATAAGAAGCAATAACCATCTTTAGGATCTTTAACAAGCACATAAGTTTGAATAAAACCTATCAAAATACGAAATAAAACCTGTCAAACGCCATATTGTTTGGGCCGCCAGTCGCACTTTTTGGCCACCATGAGAAGTCACGGCGTGTTCACTGACATTTTTATGGACTTGCCCGTTGTCTATTGATACAAGTTCAAATGATCTTATAAACACCGAAAGGTCCAGATTGCATTGTCAAAAAACAAACTAAAAGAAAATACATTGGTTACTACCATAGATAAACAAGTATAAATTTTACTGCTAATTTATTAGAAAATTTGAGCCAGGTATCAAGCCAGATGTTAATGTCAACACCGTCGACATGAGAAAGAGCCTTTTTTGATATTTAACTCCTGAAAAACGCTTCAACTATTCACAATTGAACATATTTATGTTATCTTTTCAGATGAAAGTACTGCTGTAAATTATTGTGATACAGCAACAACTTCATGTCAATTACAAAATAATGAGGTTGTATTGAATAATCATCAACCATCACATGCTAACATGACAAAGTATTGATCTTTAACTAATACTATATACTTAAAGTATTGAGAATTGATCCGAATAATAAATACCAAACAAGAGATAGAAGTTACTAGAACTCTCTTCATGCGCTCAAAAGTTAACTTAAAATCCCAGGAAGAACAATTCAATAAGATCATAAATTTATATTGCAATCAAAAAAGAGGAACATATTCAAAAATGAAGAATAAAATTTATGCCTAAGATATTCTTGAAAATTAACTCTGTTTATATTCATCTTGGTGCTCAATCAAATAATGATTAAGTTACATTAAATCTATGTATAGTCTCTATCTGAAAACCTTTTATGCACGTTACGTTAATCTGCTTTAAAATGTTGAACGAAATATCATTATCATCATTATTACAAAGAAAAAGAAATCATTGTGTTCTCATAACAGTAACTGTCAAAAATTCAAGAAAGTTATATGCAAACACATTTGCCAATTTAATTAAAGGATAAAACCAAAATTACTTTCATTTGAAAAGCATATCAACAGCATACTAAAATGAATTACTATATGAGGATGTCACTTAAAAACTATTTTGCTGTTATCCTGTAAATTATTGTACAATTCATGATCTATATACTTCTCGACATCTGTTAAACGTATTATCACCAATAATAAACAGAAATAAACTGTAATTCTACAATTGCTAAAGCATTCAACTTCATTATTTATTACTATAAATTTATTAAAAAAAAAAAAGAGTGCGCGTAAGGATCACACGCGATTGAAGTAAAACTTTTAATATTGTATGAGTAGGCAATTAAGATAAAAATAAAAAAACATCATATTTGAATTTTAAAAATCATTTATTAATAATCACATAACATCAATAACACAGTTTAAAACAACAGCGATAGATTAATTGCTATCATATTTCATATATGATATAATAGGTTTGTGATAACTAAAATGAGAGACATAAATTTTGCTTTGTAAACTATGTACATTTCTGGAGAAAACTGCATCAATAGTCGTGCCATATCTTGTGGTTGAATCAAATGGAGAATTATTCATTGTTAAACTAAATTTATTATTTAAAAAATCAATTAATAGTTGAGATTCTTCTGAACGAAAATTGACATTGAAATCTCCAGCAAGAATTAATGGTATCTCGTTGTGATTAGTGTTTAAAAGTTTTGCACCCTCATTAGAAAAATGAAGTAACTGCCGATGAAGAAATTTAATAATATTTGATACGTTTTTATTGGGAGAAATGTAAAGGACGACTATAATTAATGTTTGATTCCGAGTGTTCACACAGCGGACAACTGCAATATCACCTACTTGTGTAATTTCATTAGGAATATCCAGTAATATTGTTGGCGCAAGAAACTGCATAGAAGATGCATTATGAGGAGTATCTGAACATGAATGATAGACAGCTACACCACCTGCTCTTGAGTTTGATCGTTTGTATTGAGTAACGCAGTAATAGTTCTGAATATCAATTCGTTCTTCATTATTAATCCAAGTTTCCGAAAATAACAAAAACGTACAACGTTGTAGCACTTTATCTTGCAGATCAGGCAAATGAGCTCGTAAACTTTGGCAGTTAAAGGAAAACAATGAAATGTCGTTCAAACTTGTTATCTCACTCAATTTTTCTTCTTGTGTTATTAATCTACAAGTTGAAAGTCTTTGGAATTCAGTTTTTAAGCCCATTAATCCTGCTGGCCGTTTTCTTCTATGATAAAAATTTTTTGTCGTTGTTTTAAAAATGATGAACAATCCATTAATGCTGGTAACTCGTGATAATGCAACATATAGAAGCTGCTGATTATGTGTTTTATTGTATTCATATACAATTTTATCAAAAGTACCACCTTGTGATTTGTGTATTGTGAGTGCACAAGCAGACACTAAAGGCAAATGATTTGTTTTGACAAATATGGTTTTATTCCTATTCATTGGAATAGATGAAGATTTCCTGAGAATCGGCACAGCTGTCCTACTGATATTAAGAGTTTGAATATGATGTGCAGCTTTCTTCTTATTTTGTTACCTATCTTACCAGGAAATTCAAACCATAAACGTAGAAGTTCATCATTATCGCCACGTTCTATGTACACTAATTTTCTACACAACCATTAGCTAAGCCATCACTTACATCAATATTAGTTGTTATTATGTAAAATTTATTCAGAACTAAAATTATTTCATACGGCAAACCCCCGGTATCAATAACCGATTTTTGTGAAACTGCTGACGAATGTATGATTGTTGATCTGTCGCATGGCAACCTACACAAATATCCGTGACAGTAGATATTATTTTGTCTTCAACGAGATTCAGTATAAATTTATTATATTCCATGACACATTTATTCTCTAAGAAAAGTCTTATTCCATGAGGACATAATACAGCAACCTCTTCTTTTGTAAAAAAAACGTGATTCAATTAATGCAAGTTCATATAGGGTTTAGCGCTCGACTTACGCATGACATGACGGGAGTGGATACTCGCGACATCAGCGCTTACAGCGTCGTAGTGTTCAACTTCACGTTGGCGTTTTCGTTGCATTTGTACGGATTTACACCCGTGTAGCCTAAAGAAATTTTTACACCCATATCGCGCCTAAAGAAGTTTTACTTCAAAACATTCATGAAACAATCACAAAAAAAATGAACATTGCGTACAGTTCAAGTATCAACTATTCGATTTGAAATTTTTTGAAAAAGACAAGAGCATGATCAGCAAAAAAACTTTTCCTACCATTTGCCAGTTCCTGAAAACCAACAATATGATCCTTTTTACAGTCGTAAAATAATGCAGATGATAATGATATTTCATCAAACATCAGAATACAGTTTTTGCTATTCACATATTTTTTCTGTGCCATAGCTGAACCCAATGTTTGGAAAAGGGTCTCATTAATACCACTATACAAAGGAATTGCTGAGAGCAACTTTCTCAAGTTTGAGGAGCAGGCAAAACAAATATTTTTCTCCAACAATAATAACCTCTTGGATAAATTTTATGCAGAGATAAAGCAAGAATTTTATCATTAAGTGTATATTTTCTTCCTTTTGGCTTCTTTGTATGTTATCTTAGTTGACTTAATATAAAATTACTAGCCCTCTTATTTAATGTTGCTGGGAGATAAGCAAAATTTTCAGCACATTTGAGACTTTCTTGTAACTTCTGCCTCAATATATTTTTTGTATATTTATCCTTCTAACTTCTTTACTCAACACATTTGTTATATGGTATAAATTTTGTTTTTTTCATATCAGGTCTCTGCACGGCTTATATCTTGAGTTAAGAACCTCTGCTGAAAAAAAAATATCTAGAATCATTTGCTACGAACATAATTTGCAGTATGAAAAACTTTAAATAACACACCTTTCAGGGACGGTTTTCCTTTGCCAGAATAATACAAAAAAGTGTTATAAAACGAATAATTTTTCAATAACATACCTTCCAGAAAGAGATTTAGTATGACGGATGTCTTGTATTAAAATTACTAGCATAGATACTGTTAAATGTTTCAGTTATTAAGCTATAATAAAAAATTATATCAGAAGCGCTAATAATAGATGCGAGTATTTTGTTGTGTGCATATTAATGAAACTTATTTATCCAGTTCTCATCACCAGTTCTCAACCCGGGCTCCAGCTAATTCACTAATCATTTTACATATTACGTCATTTTCAGCAGGAAATACGTGCATTTTTGCATATTTGTTGGTGTTTCTGCATTGTTGTACACCGCACTTTGACGTGATATTTGTTATAAACTTTTAACAAACATTTGACACCTTGACAATACGCCATATTAGATTCTAGAAGCCTGTTTTGTAGCGCTACCAGCGCTCCTATCGAGGGAGACGGAACTAAACACAAGATTACAGATGTTTGTTCGGAGATTACCGGCCATGATTCTAATATTGTCTGTGTCTAGGCTTTTATCTTTGTTCAACGCGTTGCTGTCATGCTGTCATCGCGACTAACTTCATTAGGTCAGAATCAGAACACAGAATGACATTAGTCTGGTCTTTGCTATTGACTTCAGTTTGATTACTTTTGTCAATTTGACATTTTTAGAATGTTACTATTAGTAAATGAAATATCGTCAACATATTATTAGGCATATTGTGATTGAAATTAATTTAGTCGTAGATTTAGTAGTAAATTTAGTTAATTAGTCGTTTTAATATTTCAATAATAATATAATAAAATGGTTAAATTATATTCGGCCAGTATTCTTTACAAAGGCTCCACAAGTGTCTCCCTACTTAAATCAGTATATGAATTACAGAGCTTCAGTTTTTTTCAAAGAGGATCTGTTCAAGAGTTTCTAGGGTTTGTCAGTCAAACTATTGTGGAACGTACACAAGCAGCGGCTAGGCAGTCAGTGAAAGAAAATGGCACGTAATTGTGAATATTGTATTATAGTCTATAAATATATATATATATATATATATATATATATATATATATGATGAATAATATATATACACCTATCACCCGCTTTACACGAAAAATTCACATTTTTATGGTAAAACCTTGCTAAACGAAAATCACTATAGAAACCTCTTTTTGTCAGTTTTTAATATAATAAATAACAAACACATTGAACGATAAATAAATATTAATATAATTGATATCAAACCATTTAATAATTTATAAAAATATTAATTTATTCCAATGATGAAAGTAATATAAATAAAATCTATTTTGAATATTTTCTTTATAAATAGAAATTAAAATTCCCGCTGATTACGATAAATAAGACTTAACATTCTATTTTCATTCAAATTTAATCACTGTCACTTGAAACAAACTAGCTTATATACTCTCAACATTTAATTTTGATCATAAAACGGGGAGTTTCCAACTGATCTACTTATTATACTACTAAAATGAATAGACTAAAGTAAATACAAAATTAATATACTTCATTAAAAAAATTCTATTCTCATTAATATACTTTGTTAAAAAAATTCTATTCTCAAAAACCGTGTAAAATGTATAAAACAAGTACCTACCATATAAAATGGGGTTAGGTGTATATATATATATATATATATATATATATATATATATATACATATAATATATATATATACAGTGGACCCCCGGTAGTCCGACAATCATTTTGCAGGGCAGTGTCAAACTATCGAATTTGTCGGATTGTAGAGAACTTCCTAAGACCCCTTATAGTCCAATTTTTTTACAAAATAGTACCTTGTAATCCGACAAATTGTAGATCCAATGATGATTCTTTATAATAAATACATATAATGTACTCTGAAGTACAAATCATACTTTATTATGTATATATGTCAAATTTAGTAAATTCACAATAGAGAGCTTACTATATAAAGTTTTATTATAAAATTAACGTCATTAATGCTATAAAACTCACAAGAAATATGCAATAACTTTACGTTAGGAAATAATTTTGTACAAACAAATGTACATACATACATACATACTAAAATAATCAAAAACTATGAATCAACTACATATGTAAGCAATTTAAGAAGCATGCCAATATTCATCAATGTCGGATTACAAGGGGTGCCTGACTAGACAGGGGCCGGATTACTGGGGGTCTACTGTATAGTATATAGTAAATATATATATATATATATATATATATATATATATATATATATATATATATATATATATATATATATAGTTTGCAGCCAATTCGTTGTATCAAAAAAGATAAATTGATTCAATTCTTTATTTATCTTTTTAATTCTTCAATATGTATACATACTGATGATTCTTGACGTATGTCATCATGAAATACTGTTGTTTTAATTCAAATAATTGGGTGCAAATATATCAAATATGTTTGAAACTTGAAAAACAATCATCATGTACATATACATATATATACATATAACATATACATATTACATACATTCAGGAAAAACGACTGCAGTGACATTTTAACATTTTCATTGCTAATTAGTTTATCATTTCTCAAAAATTGGTTACAAATCAGTCACTAAATATTCATACTACGTAGAATGTACAAAACTAACTTGAATAAAATTATTTTTATATGAAAAATATAGCTAAAAACTCAGAAAATGAGATTTTTTTCATGTGTCCGGAAACTTTTGGCCTGTACTGTATATATATATATATATATATATATATATATATATATATATATATACGTGTATATCATAATTAAATGTTTAAAACCATATGCCCTCCATGATACATTTACAAAATCTAAAAGTCGCGTGACTATTTAATTGTAACTATGTAATATGTTTATATTACAAACTTTAATTTATTATTTTTATTTATTCATTGATATAACTATAAATTACACGAAAATTTTGATCAATAGTCTTGGCTCAGTTTTAAATGCCAATTTACAGGATTGTCATCTTTTAACTATTGAATATTTGCTTGTAAATAATAAGACCCTTGCCTTAAATTACTATGACATGCTATAATAATATTTTTGATCTATTTTTTTAATTTAGAATATACATGCCATGTATATGTAAGAGGTGATGGTTTAGCAGGTGTTGTTGTATCAGATCATGAGTATCCGAGTCGCGTGGCACATACAATGATCACTAAAATACTTGATGAGTTTGCGGGAAAAATTTCTCCGGAATCGTGGCAAAAAGGTTTGAGCAAAAAATTAGCTTACTTTTAATTTTTAACTTATTTTAAAACAAATATTTTATTGATAGAAAATTTTAATATACTTAAATATATATTGCTTCTTCTGTAAGGTCCTGAGGCTTGTTCCATATATCCCGTTAATGTTCTGGCAGCACATCTAACACATTGGCAGAATCCAAAGGAGGCAGATGCTATGACTAGAATTCAGGAAGATTTGGATGAAACCAAAATAATACTTGTAAGTTTTCTATGGTTGACTTCTAACTATATATTTGTATATATATATATATATATATATATATATATATATATATATATATATATATGATAAAGTTGTTCTTGGGGATTCATCCAATAATTAAAACGATTTTATTGTAGAAAAATGTTTTTATTGTAATATCATATGTTTTGGGTCAAAATTTAACCCATCTTCATTGCATACAAATAAATTAAAGAGAAAAACACAAAATACACAAAAAGATATGAACACCAATTAATATAACATCAAGTTATATGACAATTTTTAATAAATAATAAATTAAACAAAATAAAAACTAGTTGGTATTGCTATTTTGCCTTGAGGCAAGTTACATGAACTTCCCGATATGTGTAAATAATCGACTTAATCAATAAAAAATAAATTAATTAACGAGTGATTAGAAGTATTCCGAGTGGATTTATTACACATAATTAAAAACGAACGAACACGTTAACTCGGAGTATTTTCTAAAAGCAAATTTTCACAAATCAATATTATAATCGAACCAGTTTTCGTAGGACGTTAATGGTGTAGTATGTTAATTAAAACCAAGTAATATCGTTGTACCAAGTATATCATCTAATTTTAATTTTAACAAACGTCAACAAAACTACTCATTTTCTCAAACTTTGAATTTTTAAAATTAAACTACTTGTCGTAAGGCCATAATATTTTAGTAAGTTATGTGGATATCTTCCACATATATTTCCACTTGAATAAATCAAATATTATTATATAATATTAGATAAATTTACATTGAAATTATAATTTATTATTTTCATCTTCTGGCTGGCTACTCTCCGTGGTCCCAGGTCAGTAGTTGTTGATTCCTTGAATGGTTGAGATGAAAGAGAATTAGTCTGTGTTGCGCTATGCGTTAAATACCCTCAGCAACAAGGAGTGGGGATGCCTAAAGGGTATATTGTGGTGCCATCTGGTGCAACGGAGGCATGTCCCACAAGCGGTGACACAATTGAAGTTGAGGTATAAACTTGTGATGCCATCAGTTGTCAAACCTCTTATATAGATTGTTCCCACATGAGCCCCCCGCGGAGACTGGAGGTCATGGTATTCGAAAATGAACTTTTCGGCCTGATCGAGTGAAATAGTTGTTCTTTGCTTTGGTGATGATTGGTTGGTCTACTGGATCTGCGATGATGTAGGCTGGTTTGATGCGATCGATGGACACCCGTGTACTGCCTTTCTGAGTTCGTTTGGTTACTGTTTTATCATCTCTCTTGAAAACTATGTATGGACTTTGATATGGTTGTTGGAGTGACTTCCTGATAGTATCGTCGCGGAGAAAAATATGCATGCATGTTTGTAGGTCCTGAAAAATAAATGGTTTGTTGTTTGTGTGATTTCTAGATTTACTTGGTTGAAGATGCGCTACGTGTTATCGAAGTCTCGAGAGTAAATCAGCCGGATGTCTTAAATTTTGAGAATTTTTATGTAATTCAAAAAAAGGAAGGCGGAGTGGTTCACCATACACCATTTCAGCTGCTGATGTCTTTATATCAGGTTTGTAAGCGTTTCGAATGCCTAATAGAATTAGCGGAAGTGCTTCCAACTAGGGAATGCAATACCGATGGAAAATTTCAATACCGGTATTTCGGTAATTTTTCATTTTAAAAACGGAATACCGGTAAATTACCGGTATTTTTATTATCTTAAACAAACGTAAACAAAATTGAAAGTTACTAGTATAAATATAAAAAAATGTATATACAACTACAACTATATTCAACTAAACAATAAAAACATTAAAATAAAACAATAAGTTTATTTTTTTGAATAATCATTTAACAAAATTATATCTAATTTAATTAATTCGTTATTACTATCGAGTGTATTGAGAACTTTTCACCAAAAACAAACTTATGAGTAAGAAAGACTAAAAACTCATAAAAGATCATATTACATTATTATAATAAACTGTATTGTCTCTATCCGATGTGCTAAATTAGCATAATTTCCAATATTTTAAAAAAATAATTTTTCTACATTAATTTAAGATCGGATACTTTGTCGAGATAATAAGCTACTATAATTGTTGAGTATTGTTATTTAAAACAATGTGATGCTTCTATAGTATTTTCAAACTTCGAAACGTTTTCGAAAAATATTTTATAATTGTAATAAGAAGCAAAAATATTTAGTAATTATATATCTTATATATAAAAATGGAGCTCTCTTTCAAATGTCCAAGTAAAACTCGAAAACGGCTAAACCGATTTGACCAGTCTTAGCCTTGAAAAATTCATGCCAATCCAGAGATGGTCGGAAAGGTGAGATATTATTTCAAAATCGCGTAGAAACTTTACATTTTTAATTTGAAAATTTTTGTTGAAGAGTAATGTAAATAAAACAACGGACGGTAGCTAATACTTGAAATGTCAAACGTTTTTGACGGATGATGTTCAATTACATTTAATAGGATGTTTTACGTCAATATTATTTAATTATGATTAAATTGTGGTAAGTAGTTTTGTTTGAAGTTTTATTTATATACAAAAACGTTATTGAACGGGCCGCAAGTTTTACTAGAAACTAAATATCAACTTTTTTGAAATGTTAACATGAAAATGCATTTTTGGCATATTTTTTTCAAACACGGTGCTCTGATAGATCTCATTTGTATAATTATGTACTCATTGGTCTTTATAAAACATTTTCTAGGTTATATTATTTTTTATTTATGTTATTTAAATTCAAAACCTAAATTTGGTATCGATCAAAGTAACATTTTGCCGAATAACATTTTCCCAGTTATAATTTCGAAGAATAGATATATACCGAAAATACCGGTATTTTTGGGGTAAATTCCGATAAAAATACCGCCGAAAAATAGTGCGGTTTACCGGTAATTCGGTATACCGGTATTGAATTCCCTACTTCCAACCATGTGTTGTTTTTGTAACACATTATCGCAGCCTTGAGTTGTCGATGGAAGCGTCTGTTCTGTAATAATAACTCTATTAGTCTGTTGGAACATGGATGATAGCTGCAAGTCCTGATTCTAATGGTGCCTGTCAATTTATTTAATGATCTAAATAATTCAGATTCAAATTGAGTACCTCGATCCGTCGTTATTTTGACTGGTGCTCCGAAGCGGGATATCTAGCATGATAAAAATCCAACCGCTACTTCTTCTGCAGATATTCCTTGTAGTGGGTATACTTTTGGCCATTTGGTAAATCGATCAATGGCTGTCAAACCATATTTATAGTAGTTAACAGGAGGTAAAGGACCAATTATATCGATGTGTACATGTGCAAATCTTGCTGTTGGCAAGGGAAATGTACCGTGAGGTGCATGTACATGCCGTGTTATTTTGGACTTTTGACAATCTTGACAAACTCTAGCCCAATCGTGGCAGTTTTTCTGTATAGATGGCCATACGTACCGTGCAGTAATTAGACGCGAAGTTGCTGGTATTCCACGGTGACTCAAACCATGTAATGAGTTAAATATTTGTCTCCGCAGTGGTACCGGGATATAAGGTCGTGGCTGAGCCTTTGCCGTGTCGCAAAACAACTTTATGTTTGTGCCTGGTACTGGAATTTCTTCTAATTGTAGTTTAGTGTCTTGAAACAAAAGGCGTTTAAGTTCTGCATCATCTTTCTGGTGCTGTGCTAAGATTTTGAAATTAAGTAAATTATCTTTTGTAATGGCTTCGACTCGTGACAGTGTATCAGCTATGATATTTTCCTGGCCCCTGATGTATTTTATGTCTGTTGTAAACTGTGAAATAAAATTTAGATGGTTTAATTGAACTGGCGGAAGTTTTTCATAGCATTGGTAGAATGCAAAAGTTAATGGTTTGTGATCAGTGTATATTGTGCATTAAGAATGAAGCATTGATGTGCTTCAAGGATGTGCCTGTAGTGCTGTACAGCAAGATATACCGCTAGTAATTCTCTGTAATAAGCTGGCCATGTCGATTGACGTGGAGTCAACTTTTTAGAGAAGTATGCTAGGGGTTGCCTGCTGCCTGCTGGGAAGCATCTGTAAATAATCCTAATTTAGTACCATGAATTGGATGTTGGAGTAGCGTTGCTTACGCAAGTTTGTCTTTACAGGATTGAAATGCTTTTTCCAGTTCTGGAGTCCGGGAGATAGATTTATTGTCTTTGATAGATGATATTGCATCGTGAAGTATTGCTTGGTTTGAAGCAGCGTTTGGTAAAAAACGGCAATAATAATTGAGCATACCTAAAAATTGTCTAAGGGACTTTACGGTTTCTGGACGAGGAAAATTCTTCAGATTTTCGATACGTTCAGATGGTGGCTTGGTCCCTGTTGCGGAAATTTCGTATCTCAAAAACTAAATTAGCGGGACACAAAAGGTACTTTTTGTCTGATTTATTATAATTCCATGGTGGTGAAGGCGTTTAAATATTGCTCGTAAATGCACTCGATGCTCTTGTTCATTTCTGGAAAAAACTAAAATATCATCTATGTAAACAAAACAAAAATTTAATCCTATCAACACTTCGTCTATGAAGCGCTGAAAGGTCTGTCCAGCGTTTCTGAGACCGAAAGACATGAATGGAAACTCAAACAGGCCAAAAGGCGTTGATATTGCTGTCTTTGGTACGTCCTTTTCTTCTACCGGTATTTGCATGTATGTCGTCACTAAATCTATAACAGAAAATGTATTACATCCCTGGAGATTTGTTGAGAAATCGTGAATGTGACGGACTGGATATCTATCTGGCACCGTCCTCGCATTAAGTGCGCGATAGTCCGGTGGTATTTTTACTGCAACTCTGTTAATTGTGTCGTTTGTGGATACATGATTTGAGGCAGGTTCAGATGTGGAACCCTTCGGTGTCTTGGAAGGCGTTTTATCAGAGTTCATACCTGATTTTTTCATCTTCAGATCAGAATATCACGTCGGGATCAACAATTATGTGAGTATCTTTCACATATATTTCCACTTGAATAACTCAAATAATAATATATAATATTATTTA